GGGCGCCCGGGGCGACGCTGCAGTGCCGAGGGGCTCACTGAGGGCTCTGCCCTCACCTCAGGCACCGAAGACCCTCGGCAGGGTGGCGAGCACCATGCGGGCCGGCTTGCCCGCTGCCGAGGCCCTGCTCTGTCCCCACTGTGCACTCCAGCTACACCCGGGTGCGGTGCCCAGCGGAGGCGGGCACATGGAGCGGCCTTGTCGAGGCCTGTGGGGCTGAGCTGGGCCAGGCCGAGCTGAGCCACAGCCCCCACACCAGCCAAGAGCCCTCATAATGCGACATGCTCACTGCCCCACCACTGCCCCAACAAACGGGTGCCCGCTGCCCTTCCCGCACATGTCAGTCGCTTTTCCAGATCTCCAGAGCAGCCATCAAACCCGAACAGGCATAATACCAGAATACATGAAATAATAATCTTTATAGAGTGTGCTAACAATGATAGGCCAAGCCTAGAAAGAAATTAAGCAGTTTGTAATCCTTTCTAGGTATCCCTTAGCCAGTTTTTGTACCTTTCGTGGAAATGAGGCACAGGTGTGCTTTGCCCGGGGTTTCTACCTGCATATGGTATTGTCGTCATTTTCATTTCTGGGGAGTCTCTGTGGGATTTACACTAAATGCTATAAATTCCTGCCTTGAAAAAAACAAGCCACTCCTGTGCAGCAAGGTATTCATTCAAGCCTTGCAGTCCCTTGCCAAAGCCAGCAGACCCTGACATCAAATGACAAGAGGAGTTGGGCCCTTAAAACTGAAAAGAAGTTGCTTTTTTTTTGATGGGACTAAAGAAGAGGAAAGTGAGAGTAGAAAATTGCAGAGAGAAATCATACAGCCGTCGCTACAAGCTGGGAGAATAGTCCCTGCAACAGCAGTCTGAATAGATGGAATTTGGACAACCTCCCTCAAACTGAAGAAAAGTTTGTTACAATAGCTGAGACCAACATGAAGAATGTCTGTCCAAGAGTTTTTCCCGGATGGATTAACACAAAAAGCCAAATGTTAATGATATCATGCAGAAAGAATGACGAGATATATCTATAACCTGATTGGGGGGGTCTAAGGAATTACCCGGGTCCACAAGGGTACTGCTGTTCCTGAGGCGAGCTCATGCTTGCTCATTTGGTGACACCAGAAAAGAAATGGCAGGGAGAGTTGTCTAGGGAATCTTAAAAGCTCTACTCAACTTGCCCTAGTATTCCCCAATGTCAGAAGAAGAGGATACAAAATTAATTGGAATAAAAGCGTAGCAGGTTTCATGGCTACTATCATTATAAATTATATATGAGGAATTTTCCTATAAACGTCAGTCTTGGTGAGAGAGAAGATTTTGGTGGATGGACCTAGGCCTGCAAATAAAAAAATCTTGATTGCTGTTTTCAATAGCTTACTTCATGGCTGGCCAGGTCATTAAATTCTTTTCTATGTGATCAGTTTCCCCATGTGCCTGAGATAGTGCTGGCTAGGCATCTTGGTGTTATAGTTAAGATTCTAAATGAAGTGCTAATTGTTATTATTCTTTGACGTCATTACTGTGGAATATACAGCCAACTCCTTATTGTTCTGCATAAAGGGCAGTTCAGGACTGTGCAAATAAGGGATAAAAAAGGGATAGAGGATACACTGGAGGAGGAGCCGCGAGAGGAGGGCAGAGATCATCAGCTCCATCAGGTCAGTGCACAGAGTTGCTTCCTATCGCTCCAGTTTCTGAATGGATTATAAGGCTGAAGGCAGTTTTGGACCTGAGAGGACCCCATGCATCCAAATGCATCAAAGCAAATAAACCTTCTGAAAACACTGAGGCATACAATACAGAGACAACAGCAGTTATTTCCTTCCCAGTCCACCCAGTCTCTGGGGTTTCTGGCACCTGCTCCGGTTGTCTTTTGGATATGAATATTAGGACTGTTTGCTCAAAAGGTGCCACAGTTACCAAATTAGAATCTGCAGCCCTCTTTTCCTCTCAAAAATTCTGTAGTGCCAGCAACAGTTGATGCTTCTTCATGGTGTCCTTGAAAGGGATCGTCTTTTGAGGAGTGAAGGAAGGCATTGATGCTCAATCATTTCTTGCTTGTGCTCCACTGAAATTTAAAATAAAATTTACCTCTGACTTTAGTGAGGGAAAATTTAGGCAGTGAATCATTGTCTTTTCCACAAAGAGTGCCAGCTGCGATACTTAGCACTGTACTTTCTGTGGTGTGGACTGGAGCCGACTAAGGACAGAACTGTGACAATCAAGTGATTTTGCATATGCCACAAAGAGTCTTTAGATAATCATAATCTGGATCAAATTAGAACCAAAAATCTACTGGAAAAAGATCACATGGGACATCAGCAATCCCCTGAGCCAGCTGCATTCCTAAATAGTTTAGTTGATTATAAAATCTACCTCTCTATCACAAAAGAAAAAAAAAAAAAAGCAATGCTATGTGCCACATAAGAAAATGCATACATTTGTGCTCCTCCTTCCCTTTCTGTGCCAGAAATTAACTAAGCAAATACTGTCTTACCACGGCTGTGTCAACATCAATCAATGGTTCTGTGAAACAAACAAAGATATTGTGGCACAAGAGGCTATTTAACGGAATTGGAATGGCAGCTGTACAAAAAATGTGGGTGAATCAATGATTCCTAAATGGAAAAAGTTAAAATTAGTAGGGGGAAGAAAAATATTTTTGTACTTCCAAAAGGGCATTGTAAACAAAGGAGGAAAAAAAAAAAGCAAAAGTTCAAATCAGAATAAATGGAGCGGACAGGGATTTCACAAGCCTTTGTTGATTTTATGCATGCTTCTGAAATAGAAAAATCTCAAAAAAAAGCAATTTCTTAAGTTCAGTTCAACTTGTAAAGAGGTGGATTTTTGGTCTTTTTTATGCACATCAAGTAGTGGTATAATTACATGAATGATCCTGTGTTTGGTACTGTCATGAGCTATACTGATAAAAAAAGAGACTCAGCTATTTCCCAAGTTCCCAACTTGCGGTCAAGACATGGCTAATGTATGCATTCAGGCCCAAGGACTAGAGAACACATCAACTTCCACAGCTGAGACATTAACATTCATGTGGCACTTTTTCCTCCCACTTTCTATTCTGGATTATGATTCTGTAAATTTCAGTTCTCACTCTGAAGTCCTCCAGGTTCAGAGGGCCTATCTGAAACAAATACACTGCTTATTTTAGCAACAGGAAAACATTGTTTAGGTAAACTGGATTTCTGATCAAGTAATACTCTATATATGTGTCATTTTTTCCTAAAAGTTTAACTTAGACTAGTATAACTTCATCATTCATTGCCAGAAATGTTCTACATTATCATGTCTTAGAAAAAAACAGAAACACTCCCACAGAAACACCTCCTTCCAGTCCCTATTCCTTGCTCAATGCCCTTTAAATGATGCTAGTATTCTTCTGTCTTTTGTGTTTTTAAATGTTATCTATCCGGTCTGCAATGGAAATAAAGTCATCAAAGACAATGTTTTTATGCTGTTCCTTTACTCCTCTGTGTTTGTGTAAAGGAGCTTTACTCTGAGAAAGTTTTTTCATTCCCCATCCTTGTTTTTCCAGGAACCAGTGGAGTTGAATCACCTTTACAGACAAATAGTCCAATCTACATTTTAATCAGTCAAGACATAAAATTGTTACATGTAATTCAGTCCCTACAGTCTCTACAGTCCCATTTTAACAACTGACAGCCCGTCAGATGTAGGCCACAAGCATTCCTAGCCTGGGTTCTGCTCCAGGAAGAGTTCAGGTAAGAACGGCACGGGAGCAGAGTTCCTCCTTTTGAAAATGAAAGCAAGGACCACAGCACAAGGACAAAAGGCCAAGCTTTTCACACTCCTTTTCAAAGCACGGTTTGGTTGATGTGCTGTGACATGGTTTAGTTTCACACAAGGTGAAATTCTGTAGCTCCAAATACCATCTACCGTATGGAAACTATCATCTGGCAGACATTGTCTGCGTGACCTGCCCAGCAGTCCCAGTGCGTCTCTACACACAAGCACCTGGTACATTTACCAGTACTCCCCTCCTTGATCATGGATGCATTACAGTAAGTCTGAGCGGAAGATTCATGGGTGCACTTCTGTAGCCCAAAGCCACGCAAAAAAAAGAGTGTTCTTCATATCTTGACAGGGTTTAGACCAGACCTTTTGTAGGCTCCTATTTTTCCTAGGTGTGACCAGTGATCATCTGACCTCCAGGAAAGTGGAAAGTGGCCAACTGCTGCTGTTCATACAGCTATCGTTTTGTTCAGGGAATTAATTCTGACAAAACGACAGACCGACTTACCCCTGGGTGTAACGCAGTTGATGTGCAGTGCGAAAGCCTCCTTCAAATAGAAGATCGGACTCACTCTCCACAAGTCCCTATATTTGGCCCTTTCCTTGGTTGGGTTCCACATGGTTGCTCTGGGCAGCTCTTGGCTGAGCGTGCTCCTATCAGAGGAGTGAGCTGCGTAGAGGGGAGAAGAGGCCTTGCTCAGGTTAGGGACTGCACCCCGAGAGAGTGACACCTAAAAATTTGCAGCTGGAGGATTTTACCTAGAGAAATCTATGCCCGTTATTGGATTTACGCAGTACAGTACAGAGCACATTCTGACAAAAAAGACTGTCCCTGGTTATGTGTAAAGTGCCACTTTTGCAATTGTTTCTGTGGCAAGTTTTTAGACCTTTTCTTGTAGGTTTCTAAACCTCTCATTTTAGTCTGTTTTAATTCATGTTGAGGTGATGACACGGTAAATGTTACGAAGTGTTGGCAAATTTTCCTTTCTGGGGCTGAAATGACAGTCTAGAAGGAGTGGGAGGTGTCTTGTTGTGACTTGTATCATCATACTGCAGTCACGTCAACCAAATTGTGTCCATTTATGAAAGGAGCATTTGTGAACACAATGAAAAACAAGAAGAAAATAACAAATACACCAGAGATTATGTATTTCTTGACCTCTTTATGACCTGGTGAACAAACTGTGAGCCTGGAAGCATGTCCGTTGTTTCAAATTACATCACCTGGTCTAATAAAAGATATCCCCTCTTCCTGAAAAGTGCCATTGCTTTTGTTTATTTTGGTGTTGGAGGAACCTATGGACTTAGGATTGCTATGTTGTGTAAAGGCTCTATAGCTTTTGTTTGATATTTGATGGTACTGAAAATATAATAGATTTTCTTCACAACCATAACTTTGGCAACACTTGAAGTCACAGCAGTCAGGGAGTCTCTGACTAAAAAATCAGTTAAAATCTAGA